GCAATCTTTCAATCACTATGTATGTAATTGCCACTAGAGTAATTAATATATAAAAAAAATGTATTATTTTTTGTTGCTTTATATTCTTCATTATATCTTGTCAGCATTAACATAAAACACTGCCCAAAAAACTATTAGTCAAAAGTGATTTTTAAACTAAACTCACATGAAGATCCTTCTATTTAAACTCTCCATTCCTCTCTTCTCCCTAACCATCACATTCCTCTCTAACCACACCTAATTAACTCAATAATCCATCTCCAACCTTCACCAATGTCCTCCCAAAGAAACCAAGCAATCATACCCCAAGAAGAACAGAATCCTCACATGATGAACTTCTCCAATTCTCCACCATCCCAATCCTCAACAACAACAGCTTCCTCTCCAACAGAGAAAAGAGGCAGAAGAAAACCAGCAGAACCAGGAAGGTTTCTAGGAGTTAGAAGAAGACCATGGGGAAGATATGCAGCAGAGATAAGAGACCCTACAACCAAAGAAAGACATTGGCTTGGCACATTTGACACAGCCCATGAAGCAGCCTTAGCTTATGATAGAGCAGCACTCTCCATGAAAGGAACCCAAGCTAAAACAAACTTTGTTTACGCTGATCAAAACTCTTCCTTCCACCCTTTCCTCAACCCAGCGTTCCACTCCCAAACCCTAACCCTAGCTGCAGCACCACCACCCACTCCATTCCCGCAGTTAGAAGGCCAAATAAATGACTTTACTCCATTCCATCCAGGTGAGTTGTTTGGTTTGAGTGGAGATACAAGATCCGGAGAGTTAAGTAGTATAATACCGGAGAGTTATTGGAACTCAAGTAATAATTCAGCTGCTTCAAGGCAAGTCAGTGATGTTAGTACGGTGAAGGGGTGTACAACGAATGGAGAAGAGAATGTAGTTGATGAAATGGGAAGTGGGGTTTGGATGGATGAGGCATTATGGGAGTTTGGAGCTTGTGGAGCTCCAACATGCTTTGATGGAGGTATGGGAGATTTTAGCAGCTCTTCATGGATGTAGCTTTTAGTTTTTAGTGAGCTCAGTTTCAGAAAGTCTTTCTTACTATCTTTTTGTTCAGTGAGATGTTTGAATGACGTGGGGGTATTTTCTCTTCTGATAAGATGATTTTATGTACTCTTTTAGTTTCTTATGAGTGGGTGTTTTCAGGGTTGATCTTCTTAATTTTGGAAAATTAAGATCCATGGGAGGTCGGGGAGAGAAAGAGTTTTGGTCAATTTAGTTTACTATGTGCTGGAGTAAGCAAGCTCTTGGTTTTTATGAGATTAGTGCAATTATATATATAT